ATGTGCATCAGATATGTTATGATCAGACTGTGGAGATGGTTGTGGTGTTGTGTCTTCTGCTTGTAGAGCACTATATTTGTTTTCTATAGGTACTGTGATAATTTCCTGTCTTGTAGGTTCTATAGTCTGTACTGACTGATTGTTTGTTACCAGAAGCTTGGATTGTTTATTGTCTTCCATAGTTGAATTTAACTTGTTAACTGAAGTAATTAAATGTTTCTGATCACGTTTAATGTTAGTGATATCGGCATTCATTACTTCCATCTTCTATTCTATACTGACCAATTTCAACGATATATCTGTCATACATTTTAGAACTGTCGTGATATCTTGGTTGTGTTGTGAGAGTATTTTTGTTGTATCTACAGTATGCTTATTTACTGTTGATGTTATTTCCATACCATTGTCATTCCATGGAGCTCAAACTATCTACCTTAACAGATAGTTCTTTCATGTGACTGTTTATGGTCTCAACTGATGATGTGAACTTCGAGTTGATCTGTCTAGTTACCTCTTTGGCTCTACTCAGTAGCACTTGTCTGTTAAAGTCCACTGGTCTTGGTGTGCTACATGGTGTTGATATAACATCGTTCACGCTATTATTGGAAGTGTCATTAGGGAAAGGTTCTTCATCACAGGAGGTGTCAACAAGTACCACTTCATCTTCTTTCATGTCATTTATCACTATTAGGTCATTGTCTGTTGACTTCTTATCATCCACTATATCTCCTATTCGTCTTGGTTTTAGCATTACATATAAAATCATGATAACGTTTTGGTGGGTGTGTTACTCGTTTAGGACGGATATTAAGCTGGTCTGGTTGTATTGCTTCATTGTTATTGTCGGAGCAGTCTGCATTAATGGCATCATCATAGATAATGATAGATACACCATGTTGTTGAAGGTAATACTTGGCATCATCTAATGAGTTGAACCCTTTATGCAGGCAATGGCTGTAGCCATCCACTTGAGCACCAGCTCCCAACCAACTTTTAAATATTCCAGGTTTCCTACCTTCGCCACTGCATAATATGAGAATCCACTTTTCTTTGTTTTTGACTTATTGCTCATTATCTCATCAGGATTTACGGGTGGTACCAAGTTTACACTGTTGAAATCAACACTATTCAGGCTAGGTTCTGTAGTTGAACTTCTTTGTTCTTTGTCTGTGCTTTCGATACCTAAATCATGACTTTCAACTGTAGATAATGGGACTGGAAATACCATACTACTGATAACATCCTGATCTCCCACAGATTCATTTTGGTTACATCTCAGACTAGTAATACAATCTGAGGTTACATGCACCATAATTTGTACATGTGCAGTTAGTATTACAACTTTCTTGTTCTTTGTCTTGACTTCCTTCTTGACTTCCTTTGTTCTCTAAAGTAGCCATCTTTGTTTTCCTTTGTTGT